GAAAAGGAGGACGGTCCTGTATACAAATTTTACGAGACCATTCGGGATTTCGGCGACGACATTATGACGACCATAAGCAGACTCCATGATGTAACACTATTCGCACCTAGCAATGCGGCACTCGAAGAACCTGGTGTACAACATATATTGCAGGATAAAAGGCGAGTTAAGGAGATCCTAAACTTGCATTACGTCAAACAGAGATTACCATTGGAAAAAATTCAAAACAAGAGTATCAGTCAGGTGAGCGCGCGTTCTTTAAAAATTATTTTGTATAAAAATTATTTCGTATGTAAATTATTTCGTATGTCTGATGGTGGTGTGGTGATGTGTATATATGTATGTGTGTGTGTGTGTGTATCTGTATAATCTGAAAAGAAATCAAATTATGATTGTATAGATTTCGATCGATTACTTAGTGTTTTTCTTATATATATATACATATATATATATATATATATATGTTTTTTTGTTTCAAATTTTTTTCGAACGAATCTCAAATCCTTTGATAATAATATCGACAATCGTATGATGTAAATTTAATACCTTATCACGTTCTGCCGTTTTTTTTTTCTTTTTTTTTCTCTCTTCTCTTTTTTTTTATTTTTTTTTCTTTTTTTTTTTTTAATAATAAAAATAAAATTAAAAGGAAAAAAAACGGCAGACATTATAAGCGTAGTATAGTCATTTACATATAAAAATGTACTCGTTTAATGACTTACTTTTTTTGTCCCATTTTTAATTTATTTATTTATTTATTTATTATTTTTTTATTTTTTTTTTGTTTTTTTAATTTTTTATTACCATTATTTACTTATTTATTACATTATTTTTTACTTATTTATTTATTTATTTTTTTCTTTCTTTCTTTCTTTCTTTCTCTCCTTCCAATGTACCAAAAAAATACCATCGACGGGAAAGGCACAAGCTGGGGTAATTACCAACGTTTTTTATCATGCAGCTTTCAATGTTTCTTGTTACAAAATGATGAGAATGATTTTTCTTTCTTTTTATCTTTTTTGTTTTTTTCCCCCCCACTTGCATCATCCTTCGTTGTGATCTATTGCATCGATGTTTTTGCCTTCTTTTTCTTTTTCTCTTTTCTCTTTTTTTTTTTTTTTTTTGTTAACTTCGTATTTCTCTCTTCTTAGAAAGAAATTGCAAATCGGCCACTCGACGTTGCGTTTCTTCTCGAATGATCCACAAAGAAAGAAAAAAGTTTCTTAGAAAAAAAAGTTCCGACAGTAAATATTCGACGGTAGAAAAAAAAAAAAAAGAAGAATAAAAAATAATAAAATTGTTTTCAAACGTTTCGATCGTAATGGGATGGAGCTCATTACAAAAAAAAAATCTTGTTTTTCCATGTTCGTTCCATTCCTTTCGCGTCGTAACCATTTTTTTTACATCGTACAATTTCCATCGGATTGATTTAAATAACGATCCTGCATTCGTCGTTATAATAATTGTTTTATTTGCAAAAAAAAAGAAAAAAAAAAAAAAAAAAAAAAAAAAAAGAAGAAACATTTTTTATTCAAAAATAAACGCCGCCACGCAACAATTTCGTGCGATTATTTATTAAAGCTTTCAGGGATTATCGATACGTGTAATGAAATCTTCGTACCCGGTATTTCTATTTTTTTGGCCCTATATATTCAATGGCACTTTTTATCGGCATTAAAATGCGAATGGCGCGTGATTGCGTTTTGCACGGCACTCAAACGATTAAAGGATAATCTACATTTTATCAGTAGAGATTTAAAGATTATTTAACACACGTTCGTCATCTCTCTCGTACATTCGACATTTTGTGCATGATCATTCCTTATTGAAATCGTTTCTAAATAAATACTAAATTAGCATGAACGTTGGAATGACATTCATATATTAATATATTTTCTACTTCTTCTTTTTTTATTTCTTTTCTTTCGTATTAACCTTTCTATCATTCTTTTCTATTCTCCTTCTTTTTCCTTTTACGTTCATTTAATTTAAAATTATAACAAACCGCGTGACCATTGAAAGCTTGAAAAATAATCGATATATATATATATATATATATATATATATATATATATATATATATATATATATATACAAATAATATATACTGTTGCATGTATTATATTGAAATTTCGTTACATAGAATTGTTATTTTCCTCTTTCGTATTATATGCACGCTTTTGAAAAAGTTTCAAAAAAAAAAAAAAAGAAAAAGCAAAGCAAGCACAAAAATCCACGCTTCGTCTCTTTTCAATTAACTCCGTTGTTACCTTTTTGTGTTTCTCTGTTCGTTCTCTTTTTTTTTCTTCTTCTTTTTCTTCTTTTTCGTTTTGTGTTTTGTTTTTGTTGTTATTTTACAATAATCGTTTCCCTCCTTTTACTTATCGTACAATTGTCTTTAAAAATTTAATCTCTTGAAAATGGATGGATCGTTTTATTTTGAGAATCATTCGTCTAATATGATTTATACGTTATTAATATATATTTTATAGATACCTACTGCCGCCGATAGGAAGAAACTTTATTTCAACGTTGTACAAGGACCGGCAGGAAATCAAACAATTACAGTCGAGGGTGGTGGCGTAAATGCTACAGTAGTTACCGCAAACATCGCAGCGACCAATGGAATTATTCATATTATCGATAGGGTCCTAGGTGTACCATATACCACCGTTTTCGACAAACTAAGAACCGATCCTATGTTGAAGTAAGATTTAATTCTTAATTAAATTAATATATAAATCCATATTACATTGTTTATATAAATACTCGTCGTCTCTTTAACACGTTCTCCGTGTCACGTGTACCACCGGTGGTACACGTTAAACTTGATCTTCAGGCCACTTTCAGGCAGTCATTTTTTTCATTCGTCAAAATATCAAATGGCCTGAACGACAAGTCAGACAAAAATGACGTGCCACGGAACGTGTTAACCACTTGCGATGGAAAGACGTGCCACGCACGTCTCTAGATGACTTTTGTTACCAGAACGCCAGCGGCGACGTGTCATACACGTCGTCAAACGATTGTTGCCAATAGAAAAATGACCGTGCAAGGCACGTCAACTGTTTAATGAAATTCTTTACCGAGACACAGTTTCTATAATACTTGCACACACTTCATCGTGTAAAGTTATCAGTATTGATCCCAGATTGTAAAATGAAAAGTAATAGTTAAACCAGTGATATTTATTTGCACAAATAAAAGGAGAAAGTGGATTTGCACTTGATTGTTCTGTCACGTGCAACTGTGAATTTCTTTACACCGCAAGTGGTTAAAAGAAAAAAAAAAAAAATAATAATAATAAGAAGAAGAAGAAGAAAAAGTAAAGAATACCCCGTTCCGTTCGTTTTGTAGTCTAAAAAAAAAAAAAACAAAATATATAATAACATCGATTGGATTCATTTGTTTACCGATCAAAAGAAAAATATATAATAATTCTCGATCGATCGATCGATCAATTTTACAGCTCCACTTATTTCTTGGGCCAACGACGTGGTTTTAACGAGCAACTTAACGATACGACGAAACGTTTCACTTATTTCGCACCGAGAGAACAAGCCTGGTCCGGTGCCAACATCAGTTATCCGTCTACAATTAAAAAACTTTTCATGCAAGACTTCAGCTATCACGTGAGTATTTCTTATTTCAACGAGAAGAAAAAAAAAAAAAAAATAAAAAAAATAAAAAATAAAAAATTAAATAAATAAAAATAAAAATTAAATCATTCGAAATACATTCAATAGAGACCCTCATTAGTCAAGCATTAATCGATACACTTCTTTTATAATCGTGCTTATGGAAAAAGAAAAAGAAAAAAAAAAAAATCAAATCATTAGAAATACGTTAGATAAAAGGTATCCTTACAAAGGCCTAATCAATTTCTCTTCTATAATCACATACTCATTCTTACAGACCAAACAAATATTGGAACGACATCTCGTTGTTGCCGATCAAGTATACACGATGGCTAAATTAAGGGAAATGAGTATCAACGATAGTGTCACCCTAACTTCTGCGAGGGATACATTGAAACTTCGCGTAAAGGAATTAACCGAAAGTAAGTAAATATAGTTACTCTTTAATTTTTCTTTTTTTTTTTTTGTTTTTTTTTTTAATAATTATTCTCCCTTTTTTCTCATTCTTTATTCCAATATCCAATCCGTATTCGACGTGTTTCGAGTGTATTTACTTGTTTTCTGCATTATAAATATATATTATATGATAAACTTTTGATTAAAACGTGAAACGAAGAAAGTTCGTTATTATGCAAGCACAGAAAACACGTATACACGTACATAACATACATACATACACGCTTACGTACATAAATAAATAAATAAATAAATAAATAAATGAATGAATACATATAAACAAATAAGTAAACTCTTATGAACTTGTCCATTCTCAAATTGGTACTATTTCAGTACGTTTAGGTGACGACGAAAACTCTATCAATCCAGTGATTTTCGGTGAGTCAGTTAAGTGTTTTGAGAAACGTCGCCGATGAGCGACGACACGTGCTTCTATATTTCGTCCAACTTGCACCCGATATAAATACTACATATTCTACATACATACATACATATATATATATATATATATATATGTGTGTGTGTGTATGAAAAAGCGATTTCTTCGTTTCTCGATATAAATTTCATTATTCCTAAACATCAAAATTGCTTTTACTTCGATGTCCCAAAGGAGAATATTTTTCAAAAGGATCTGCAGATTATTTGTGTATTCGTAAAATCCATTAAATTGATGAATAACGAACGTTAAAAAAAAAATCATAGAGAGACGAAGAGATTCTACGCATAAAAAAAAAAAAAAGAAAAAAAAAAAGGAAAAAGAAAAAAGAAAAAGAAAAAGAAGAAAAAAAGGAAAAGAAAAGAAATTCCGCTTTTTCTTTCTTTTATTACCTTTTCTTTTTCTCTCTTATTTCTATTTTTACTTTCGTTCTTTTATTTATTATTATTTTTCCCTTTTCGTTTCTTCTCTTCGAACAAAAACCTCCGACGAGACATCCTTCATAAATTAACGCGTATAACATACATAACATACTACATACTTATATATGTAAATAGCTATCATATAATTGGTAGTAGAAAAAAAAAAAAAAAAAGAGAAGAAAGTTAATTAGCAATTATCGTCAAATTGCAAAATTGGAAAACGCGAAAGCAATTTTGATTGTGCGATATATATATATATATATATATATATATATATATATATATATGTATACATTATATATTATATATTATTTATACCATCACGTGTCCTCGTTCGCACATTGACATTTTTATATGTAAATTATATTATACATATATATATATATATATATATATATATATATATATTACGAAGATTGTAGCTAATTGAAGTACATAAACATTTACGTGCGAAATCTCCCACACACATTTGCAATTGCCAAAAAAAAAAAAGAATATTATAACTCGATGCTTTTACTCGAAACGCTTTGTATACATATACTTTATATATTTATATATATATATATATATATATATATATATATATATATATATAAATATATATATATATATATCAGTGGCCCGTGCTTTTTGCTTAAGTATATATAAATATATTACTTCGTTATTTTTTATTTCTTTTTTTTTTTTTATTTTCTTGCTTATTTGAACGTAAGCATTGCACGATTTATAGGTACACCTAATAAGTAAATACCTAATAAGTATAACGGAATCATAATAATCACTGTACGTCAAACCTTTTCTTATCTTTTTTTCTCTCACATCAAAAGACAATAACAGTAGTAAGCAGAAATGAAAGAAATGACGACAATTTCTTTTTTTTGTTTTCCTTTTTATTTTTTATTCATTTTTTACTTATCGCCATTATTATTTCTCTTTTTCTTACTTTCGTCATCCTTCCAAAGTCATACTTAATGTCAACATTTAATACTTTCGATATTCGACAAAAAAGAAGTTGTACAATAATAAAACAAAAAATTATGCGTCGTTAATTATTAAATCTTTTTGAAAACAATTTCGTTTCTTGATTTCGCGTTCTTTTTCTTTTTCTTTTTTCTTTTTTTTTCTCCTCTTTTCTTTTCTTTATTACACCTTCGCACAGGCGCACAATCTCGATTCTATCATCTGAAGTATCTGTATATTATCATTTACTTGCCATCATCGCTTAGAGTCGCGATGAAACGGGGGGAGAGGGGGGGGAAGAGCAGAGAGAATTGGGGAGGTCAGCAGGTTGAGATAATGCGACAAATTGGAATACATTGGACGATCTTATTAGATGATAGAGGATATATAGAAGATAATAGGGCCTGCGACAAATTTTCTCTAATTAAAATAAGAGAGATCTTTTTCTTTTTCTTTTTCTTTTTTTTTTTTCGCTTTATCTTTCCTTTTATTTATTTATGTTTTTTTTTTCTTTATGCGTTGTACAACCCCCTTCCCCCCTCACCGAAATAATATATGCATCCCACCACGTAGGTCGCTATATGAACCTCTTTCTCTGTCTCTCTCTCTCTTTCTTTCTCTTTCTCTCTCTCTCTCTCTCTTTCTCTCTCTCTCTCTCTCTCTCTCTCTCTCTCTCTCTCTCTCTCTCTCTCTCTCTCTCTCTCTCTTTCTATATATATATATATTAAAAGCATATCTCGAGCTTTGAATATACACGCATATCGACACATGCAATATCGTGTCTCTTATACGAGTTTTTAAAGGAGGCCAGCCTGCAGCATCAGCAGTTAGCCATCGTCCACTTGAGAGTAAAGAAAAAGAAAAAAAAGAAAAAAAAGAAAAAAAAAAAGGAAAAAAAACTATCGCAAATCGCTCTCGAGAGGAGTAATTTCTTGCGCAAGTGTATGTGTGTATTTTTTTTGGGGGGTGGGGGGAGGCGGTGATGGGAAATAGGCAATAGAGGAGGAGAAGTAAGGAGGAAGGAGAAAGAAGATATTGCGTTTGATACGATAAAAATATAAATTTTTACACACTACTCAAGCAACATTTTGAAACGTGTACGTATTTTTATTAATAATTTTGTTATAGCTTCGATCGCTCTTTCCTTCCTTTTTTTTTTTTCCTTTTTTTTTCTGTTTTTTTTTTTTTTTTGATCATTTAAACGTTCATACCGTCCCCGCAAAATTATTTTCACTTCGTACGACTTTTTATGTTCATCCATGCCTCGCAATAATTTCTTACCTCGTTTGCTCGAACGATTGAACGTCGATCGAACGAGATATCGACAATTGTAAAACTGTCGCGAATCGTTCATTCGCTTACTCAGTCACGTCCAATTGATCGTTACGATCATTTGTAGTCTGATTGACGTTTCTTATCAAATGCCGTTTTTTTATACGAAAGAAAAAAGAATGGGAGATAAAAAATCGAACATCAAAAATTGTCCAAATCCGATGTCGATCTTAATATCGCGTATATATTAGAAGTGATTATTTTTTTTTTTCTTTTCTTTTTTTTTTTTTTTTTTTTTTTTTTTCTTTTCAATGAT